GAAAACAGGAAGGGGGGGAAGGAGAGAGGAAATGGAGGAGGAAAAAAGATTCCATGTGCAGGGCATGTGTGTTTGTTGGGTTGGCAAGCCAGGTCAATTTGGGGAAGCCAATTTTTTGCCCACCCAGAGCTTGCCCAGACTAAGGCTATGTTGCAAAACAAGCAGTGATTTCTCTGCCAGGCATATTATTGGAATGAGTGGCGTCCCAGACCTGACTAATGTTTTCTTCTGGCCCTCTTACTTTCTTAACACAAACATCTGAGGCTGAGGTAGTTTGAAGTGAGCTCCTCAAAGCATCCCAAAATTCCTACTTTTTATTTTTTACTTCCTTGATGTTTACTACCTAGTTCAAGAGCTAATGATTTCTGCTCCACCCAGCACTAACCCTGTGGATTCTAAATGCGTTTGCCTTTCAGAACCATCATTCTAAGCTCAGTTACCTCCATACAGAGTCTAAAATTAGAATGAATGAGCCATGCCAATTCAGCCCCTTATTGGGAGATTCCTCTAGGACAGGTACTTCATCATTTCAGACAGCCTGATGTCTTGAGAATTCTTGTGGCTGAGAGAAGAAATAGGTGTGACTGGCCATTTTGGTTTCATTGATCCTTAGACACAGTAACAAGACAAGCTAAGGTCTGAAAGGACTGGTTGTGCCAAGCAAGCTGCATGTAGACAGGATGTAGTTGATTCGCTTAAAGAAACAGTCCGTGAGGCACTACTGTGTATTGATACTGATTCCAAGAATGTATAAACACCTAAAATCATGATCATGAAACATTATAGCTAGACATCTAGTCTGACCTTTTCATTTTACATATTAATAGACGGAATTAAGGTCTGGAAATTTTAACTTTTCCAAGGTGATGGGCAGAGACTGGAATGAGCTTTGGTTACAGTTCAGTGGAAACTAAGTGCAAGCAAGGAGGTTGCACACAATTAGTAAAGGCTTAATGATGGGACTTGAAGTTCTATCAACTAAAAAGTAGCGCCCCGGGAGAGCAGAACTGCAGCCACCAGAAAGGTGTCTATTAAAATGTAAGAGACGACTGTCCAGGCTCTACCTGAGGTGGGATGAACATTGCTTCCGACCTTTGTCTCCACTCATAACTCACCGGGGAGCTTTCTGATTACAAAATTCAAATTCCTAAATGCCCTGAGATTAGAATTGGAGTATACTGGGTGCCAGAGAAAACTATTCTAATTAGCAAAGGCTAATCACTTAAATTGATAAAGTTGAGTTTCTAAAATTATATACTTGAGGACTCTGGATTCATGAAATATATCCCAAGATGGTCAGTAATCCTTACTATTTTTTTTTTCTGTGGAACATTATTAAAAATTTTAGTATATATGTAGCTAGTTTATGATGGGGCAAAAATAATGAATTTATTAATAAATAAACACCACTATAACAGAATGTAATAAAATGTAGTTGTAATATATTTAATTAATAGGAATATAGTAGTATAATCAGCTATCTAAATGGTTTCTAGGAATTTAAATGTTAATAGGTTACCAACTTACTAACACTTTTCTTAAAATAAAAAGTAAAAGGTTTAATACGTGAAGTGAAGTATCAGATTTCTTTTTTATCATCTACCACACTCAAAGCAGACCCTTTGTTTTCTCTTAAAGGTACCAGCAAGGGTTACTCTGTTGCTGCCAGGAGATCTGGGTTTGGGATAGCCAGACCGAGATCAGATGACTGTTCTGTGTAAATAAGGGTTCTGAGACTGTGGATTCATGAGACTGGGAATCCAGCAAGAAGAAAACATTCACATCTCTATTATAGGAAAATTATTAACGGTGTTCACTATTTGGAACAAAAGAGAAAAGTAGACAAATTCATGCGTAATCACAACAAAGGCTCTACTAAACACTATGTAAAAACAAACTATAGTCTCAATAATACCAGACAATTTGAGTAGCTTTTGACAAAGGAACAAACATTCTTTCCCAGGACTGTAAGTTCTATGTCAAGTAATATAATGCAGAACAGAGACTGGAACGTTTCATGAAACAGAAGAACTTTCAGGACTTATTTTTTTCTGAAAGGAAGATATGCCAGGAAAATCTTTATACAATGAAATAGTCTATCTTCATTATGTCTGAAGTCATGAAAAACACCCAAATTTTGCCCTAGTTTTTTCCCTTTACTTGGAGGCAGATTATAGCGTAGTCTACATGTCAGTGAAAATATATGTGTGGAACACAACTCCTCTTGGAGACAGTGGGGGAGTACCTGATGTTTAGAGAGCCATATACATTGCTGTTTAAGAAACAGTCTTAAATATTATCACCATCAGTTGAATACACACAATGCCTGACTGGGTTCATTGCTTCCTCAAAGAAGAGACAATTGTGTCAGTGGGTTTTTATATGATAACTAGAGACCCGGTGCACAAATTCATGCAGGGGTGGGGGCCCTCGGGGCTGATTAGAGCCAGGAAGGTTGGCCGGGGGGAGGGGCCGAGGGAGGTTGGCCAGCCACAGGAGGTTGGCTGTGGGAGTGCAGGGGGCAGCTCCTGTGTTAAGCATTTGCTCCCTGGTGGTCAGTGCGTGTCATAGCAATCAGTCTACCGGTCGTTTGGTCGTTCAGTCACTTAGGCTTTTATAGATATAGAAGATGGGCTAATGAGGGTCCTGTTTAATCCCTGGAATGAACAGAAGTTCAAGACCCTGAAAGTTCTAAGTGTGATTTTCAGATTGGCTTACCTAGAGTTCTCTGGAGTAAGCTTTTTTGATGTGAAAACAAAAGATAACAGTTCCTTTCTCAAGAGAATGAGTTTTGATGTAATTATGCTTCTTTAAATGAAGTTTATTGCTATAGGAGTTACAGGATAGATAGTTTCCACTCTGTGAGTAAGTAAGTAGGTCCTGGAATAATGTAGATCAATACTACATTGAACTTCTTACAATTTCTCAACCATATCCTCTTGAACAGTTTTGATTAAGGCATTTGAAATGGCCTGATCACTTTTCAATTTCCTTATTATTTTATTCCTTTATGACACATAAATCACTTTGATTAAAAACATTCATCTGCCCTGGCTGGTTTGGCTTAGTGGATAAAGTGTCGGCCTGCAGACTGAAGGGTCCCAGGTTCGATTTCAGTCAAGGGCACATGCCTGGGTTGCGGGCTCAATCCCCAGTAGGGGGCGTGCAGGAGGCAGCCAGTCGATGATTTTCTCTCATCACTGATGTTTCTATCTCTCTCGCCCTCTCCTTTCCTCTCTGAAATCAATAAAAATATATTTTCAAAAAACACATTCATCTGCATATTCAAGAGGCTTAAAGAACCCAAGTAGATAAACCTTCTGCATGAAATTCTCCTCCTTGGCTTTCTGTGATTGTATACTCTCATGGGTTCCCTTACACCTTTATGACTATTCTTCTCTTGTATACTTTTCTTTTTCAATCCTTTTCTTCTCAGTGTGTTTTAAAATCCCATGCAGCTCTTATCTTTCTATACTGCATACTCTCACATAGAAATTCTATCCATTTTCATAGACTATCAGTAAAGAAGTTCTCAAATCTTGTAACACGGCTTCTGTATTGCCATTGCCTGGCTTAATACCTCTTCTTGCATATTTTACAGGCCTCCTAAGAGCAGAGTAGAGATTCTTTTTCTGCTGTTCCATATTCCTATAATAGCATTAACGCTAAGATGGGCAACAGGTAACCTAAGACTTCAGTTACCTTTGACTTTCCTTCACTTTACTCAGCTGCTAAGTCCTCCCAATTCTATTGACACTTCCTCCCCTTCCTATTCATTTCCCCTGCTACTTCCCTAGTTCAGTTTTTTATTATTTTCTCACCAGATTGGATCTAACAGCAATAACTGGCTTTCACGATCCTGTTCTCCTCTCCCTTTAATTCATCCAAAATGTACTAGTCAGATTAATATTCCTCAAGCATATCTCTGATGATTTCACTCCTTGTTAGAGCAACAGAATGATAGTTTACCATGGCTCAAAAAAAATAAAATATTTTGTTAGCAGAACATTTCTTTCTAAAGTGTATTTATCACTTCCCTTCGCCAGCCCCAAATTCCAGTTGTGAAAAAATGTGCATACTTTTTCAATTGAAATAAACTATGAAGTACAAAGAAAGAGAAACAAAATGGGGAAAAGGATCATCACTTGTGGGTGGGTGCATGTTTTCTGACAACTTGTAAGTGTTCTAAGATTTAATATGATGTAAGTTCTTGGAAGGGTGGAGTGGCCACACCAGCTACAGGGGTCATGGAATATGGTGAGCAGATGGACAGGGCTGGGTGGAGGAGACCCACCCTGGCCTTTTTCAACCAGTTACAGACAAGAAGACAAATGACTACATCTCCTGAACAGGAGCATGTTACTAGTAAATGGATACAGATGAACAGAGCTTCTAGCACAGGGCACGTGAGATAAATATAAGATTAGAGCACACACTTCTGAAACACTCAGTTTTGCTATTTGGAACCACTGAGGAACTTGTACTTCCAGATTAACCTGGTCAAGGGTATTTGGGCAAGCCCTCAGAGGTCCAGAGACCCTTGAAAATAGCAAACTGAAGAATCTTGATTAACTGGCAAAAAGCTGTTTTTATACTAAACATGCTGCTGCCTGTACAGTGCTTTGCTGAAAAATGGAAAAAGCTTTCTATTCATCTACAGCTTTCTATCCCTGCTTATTGTGAATGAAATAAGCTACCTGGATTTTGCAAATCAGGTAACAAAAATTCTGCAAATGCTGGTTAGGAATGGGCCAAATTGTTTAGCTAAACTCTCTAATCTCTGTACTTATGCCAAAAGTAATCTTTGGTTTATTCTATGAATTATAATGAACTCTGAATTCATAGGATCTGAACTTAAAATGTTTTCCTATGAAAACATGCATGTTAATTAAAGATAAATGGAGCAAAAAAAGGAAGGCTAATCAGGACCCCAAACAAAGATGTGAAGAATAACAAAACTCTTGCTACATAAAAGCACGAGTGAAGTTTATTCTCTGTGGTTGCAGTGTTTCTCTTACCTGACAGAATCAATGTACAGGTCTCCCTTGCTTTCCAAAACTTTTCATTATGCCCCTTTGCTTTTACAAAAAAAAAAATGTACATTAGTATGGTAATTGCCTTTTTAATAAAAGCAGAAATCTTTATATTTCATTTATTTAGTGAGAATGAGTACAACAAGAGTCTTCCCTAAAAGTGAAGTGTGTACTGTAAACTTTCAGAAAGCGGGGTACTCTGCTTTATGCCATGTTGTCTTATGAAGGGTTTCATAGGAACCTTTCCTTTTGGGTAGTGGGGGGAACCTATAATGGTCAACTTTCTGTTGCAGTTGGTAAAGAGGCAATCTTCTAGTGATAGCAAATTTCACAATGTCCCCCAAACTGCCAAGGGTGTTACTGAACGCAGGAGTAACAAATCTAAAGAGCCCTAGCTGGTTTGGCTCAGTGGATAGAGCGTCAGCCTGCGGATGGAAGGGTCCCGGGTTCAAATCCTGTCAAGGGCACATGACTAGGTTGCGTGTAGGAGGCAGCTGATCAATGATTCTCATCATTGATGTTTCTCTCTCTCTCTCCCTCTCCCTTCCTCCCTGAAATCAATAAAAATATATTAAAAAGTCTAAAGAAATCAGAGCAGACTTAACTTATATTCAATGTCCTCAGAGCCATTTCAACAAAACAAAACAAAGACAAATCACGCAGAACAGTTTTGCTTGCTAATAGTCATTAAGAAGTAAAACCATTTTACTGTGATATATCTGAAATCTCATTATTTCATCAAAACATAATTTTTCTAAATCTTCAGCCTCTATTTGACCTCAAGACTCAATGTATCATTAGTAATACCAATGCTTTTCAGCTTATCCAGATTAATCCTGCAATTAGGGCCTTATAATTTTAAATGATGAATAATGATGCCATTGTAAAATTTAGCCAAAGTAAATGCTGCACAAAGCAACTTTTCTTCTACATGTTTTCCTCATATATGTGAGGTACTGTAGCATGGCAGTAAGAAGTGGGGTTTCTGCAATTAGATTATTTAGAATTATGTACCAACTCTATCATTTATCAGCTGTGTGATACTAAGCAAATGTTTATTATCTGTGCCTCAGTTTCCTTATCTGTAAAATAAGGGTAATGACAGTACTTACAACTCAAGGTTATTGCATTTTATTTATTTATTTATTTTTAAATATATTTTTATTGGTTTTTTACAGAGAGGAAGGGAGAGAGATAGAGAGTTAGAAACATCAATGAGAGAGAAACATCGATCAGCTGCCTCCTGCACATCTCCTACTGGGGATGTGCCCGCAACCCAGGTACATGCCCTTGACCGGAATCGAACCCGGGACCTTTCAGTCTGCAGGCCGATGCTCTATCCACTGAGCCAAACCGGTTTCGGCCAGGTTATTGCATTTTAAAAAGGTGAAAGGTACACATGGGCAATATCAGTAAATCACTAGCTATTCTCATTATAGTCATAAATATTAATATATGTGTATCATAGAGTCATTAATATTTTTTGCAACAAAGACTATAAACTTAGCCTAAAATACACAGATATTTTGAACACAATATAATTTTTTCTCAGTAAAACATGAAAGCACATAAAACAGCTCACAGTTCACTCAGTAGGTGGCAATATAGTATTAGTTTTAAAATAATGCTTCTTTATTTTTTTGTTAATCTTCACCCAAAGATATTATTTCCATTGATCATTTTAAACAGTGGAAGGTGGGGGGGGGGGGGAGAGAGAGAGAGAGAGAGAGATGAGAGAGACACATCGATTGGTTGCCTCCTGCATGAGCCCCAACCAGACTGGGGTTGAACATGCAACTCAGGTACATGTCCTTGACTAGGAATCAAACCCATGACCCTTCGATCCACAGGCCAACACTGTAATCACTGAACTACATGGGCCAGAGCAATGCTTCTTTATTTTTAATACTATTTTTTAGAAGCTACAACTAACCATTACATTCAGATGAGCAAGACTTTCCTAAAATTAACTCTATCACATTATTTAGCATCTTATAAGCCTGAATATTATTCTCTCATTCAACAGTTTAGATTATGTCTCAGTCATTGCAAACCTTTTCAACAGGAATGTATTTTCTGTTACTATACTTCAAGATACATATTTTTAGATTTTTCTTCTATAAAACAGATTTATTTATTAAGTATAACAAAAATAAAATTGTTTCTGGATTCCAAAGGAGTTGACATCTCAATACAAATATGCAGCAGGGACATTCACATGCTGAACATAATTCTGAGGAGAGATGTTTATGACTGACTGCACACACGGAAGAGAAGAAAACATCATCAGCAAAGAGAGCCTTATTCTCTGAATTCAATTTATGAAACTCAGGTAGTGTGTGAATTGAGAGAGCAACAGAAAGTGGAATTGCTTGTGAATAACTTCAAATGGAAGAAGTGGAATCCTTTATCTTTCAGAACATGATGTGGCTTTAATTCTGCTGGAAGGTAGCAAAGGGGTGGTAGGCTGACTAGCAGTGGTGATAGTTCTCATGCTTGTCTGATTCCTAATCTCAGAAGGAGAGCTCTCAATATTTCCATGGCGTCTGCTGTTGGTGTTTTGTAGCTATCTCCTGTTAGATTAAAGAAAAATTCTCTTCTATTCTTAGTTTGCCAAAAGATATATTTTAATCACAAACAAGTGCTGACTTCAATCAATTGCTTTTCTGGTAAGATGATCATTTAACTTTTTCCCTTTATTCTGTCAATGTGGTAAATTCTACTAATTGATTTTCTAATGTTAAATGAACATTGCGTTATTACAACAAACTCAACTGATTTGCAACATCTTATCATTTGGGCATGTTGTTTGGTGAGCTGACAGTAAGAATTTTGGTGTATATGTTCATTGAGATTGCCCAGAAACTTTTCCCTCATAATTTCCTGTTTATGTTTTGATATGATATGAAGGTTATGCTGGCCTCATAAATTAAGTTCAATAGTGTTGCCTGTTTCTGTTTTCTGAAAAGGAGAGATATTTATTCCTTAAACATTTGCTAGAATTAAATAGTTAAACTATCTCTACATGTAGTGGAAGGTTTTAAATTAGAGATTCAACTATTTTTAGTTGTTATGAGATATTCGTAATTTCTGGGTTTTTATTGTGGTCCCAATTTCAGCAGGCTGAATTTTTGTATTATTTTTATCCTAGTAAGCGTATAGAACATAGTTGACAAAAAGCATACATTTATTAGATATATAAGTATTGCTGAAATCTATGTGGATAAGAACTATATTTAATAACTTTATTTAAAACTTGATGTAAGTTATAAAATATCTCAAATAGTTCTTTCTATTTCTTGGTTATTTTGAGTTTACCTTATTAAAATGAACTGCTTTAGGGCATAATTTTCAAAAGCATAACTGTGGTACTAAAAAAACTGAGAATACATTTTGTTTTGAGTTAAAATGAAAAGATACAGTGGCATTCCTAGTATACTTAACACCTGAAAGAAACAATTTTTAACACCTTTTCCTCTAGATGACAAAAGTATCTTCAGGAATGATGACGAAATGAAACAAATAATTATTATGTCCAGAAAGGAAATGCAGACAGTGACAATTTTCATTTATTAAATTTTGCATGTCAAATAATGCCAGTAAAAAAATTAGTAAAAACAATAAAAGCAAAATTTTTTAAAAATCTAAAAATATGTATACCTACATGTTGATTTTCCAGGGTGATGAATAATCCCATTGCAGTTTCTGGCTTTGAGCCTTCACTTCTGCAAATTTGTCAATGGCTTTGTCAAACTGATCTTCACATATTCATGGTGGATAGAATCAGGATAGTGAGATGTGTCAATCTATCTTCACTCATAGTTGATTGAAGGACACTTTATTTTCGTTTCAAATGTTTCTTTCACATGTAAAAAACAGATACACAAATGGTTAGGAAAGCTTTAAAATAAAAATGTTTATCAGGAATTCATAAAAATCCCATTTAACTGTAAATTCCAGAAATAACAGTAGCATCCTTGCCTTTGCTCTTTGCAATCAGTTCTGATTAGCTTTCAAATGTTTCTGCAGTTGAAACTTTTCCACTAAAATACCTTCACCAGAAAATTTATCATAAATATCTATCATAATTGGGAAAATTCACCAAAGCTTATAAAGGGTTGTATATTATTTGAGCTTGCTTCAGGCTCAGTTCATATTTCTAACCCCTGTTGTACTATGGAATCCTGTGTTTCAATATAGATTCAAAATAAACAATTTGAGCACAGTGATTGTGAAAATGAAGAAACAGAACTTGGCTGCTTATTCTTGAAATAAACATGTGTAGCTGAGTCCAGTGCAGGGGAGTTAGAGTTACTTCCATGTAGAATGCAATGTTTATTAAAGAATAAGCAATAGGGGTGGGAGTGGCTGGGGAGGGGGAGAAAAAGGATGTAAGGACGCATGTAATACTTTAAACAATAAAAAAAGAAATTTAAAAAAAGAATAAGCAATAAAAAATGGTCATTTTTAGCTTACATATAGTATATTATTAAATTTCAGGCCCGGCCAGCGTGGCTCAGTGGTTAAGGGTCAACTTATGAACCAGGAGGTCAAGGTTTGGTTCAGTTCTTGGACAGGGCACATGCCCAGGTTGATTTATTTCTGAAAATATTCATAAAAAATACAAACTGCATTCCCTTCTGCTCCTTCACTAGGCGTGGTTAAATTATTATACTGTGCTTCATTTTTACTTATCTGCTGTCACTGGCAGTGAGTAACACAACTTACTCTGATGTAATGGAGTGGATAACAAACTGATCTATCAAGATTAAAATTTTGGTAAGGCGCACAAACCTCTGAAGTACCGTTTGAGGTACGCCAGACCTTATCTGACACTTTCAGCGCCCTATCACAAACTGAAGGGTGGTAACTCCGCTCAGTACATGCACATCCTTCCAGGTCTGGAAAGGAAATACCTGGGAAATTTAATTAAAGTTTAAGTGAATCATAATATGAATCCCAATAGACTTCAGCAAATATTAAATTTCTGGTTTGCAGCTTAAAAAATAACTTAAGATACGGTAAAATTCCAATATCGTAAGAATATAGTATTGCATCGATTGTAGTAAATAAAAGAACTGGAAAAACAGCATTAAATATTTTTGTGGGGTTTAAACTAGCCAAAATGACTACACCTTTTTAGGTGTTTATAAGGTGTTTTTTATGCTTCATTGACAAATTTGGCTGAAAGAACCAAACTAGTCTGTCTTAATAGTCACAAAAATAAATGGAATGCCCATTTGCTTCCTGTTTGGTTCTGTTGATGGACTAATGTTCCCTCCTGCGATAGCCATTGAGGATGTTTATATTCTTGACCCCTCACAGGGAAGCAGGAAGGAATCTGAACTCTGAGGACTTGATGTACTTTTGGCTTTGATGTGCTGCTCTGGCCTCTGTGGTGGAAGTGAGCATGCAGAGGGACAGACCTGAACTTGTACTGAAAGCAGCAAAAACAACAATCAAGAGTCTGATGGTTAGCAGTATGTCTCTAAATCAACTGGAATAAGAACATATTTTCTGTAGCAACATACATAATGGTTTCAACTGCCCTCAAAATTAGGCAGATAAAATATACAAAAGAAACAAGGCATTTTCTTAAAAATATGTAAAATAGCCAATGAGGTAGAAAGTATGCACCAATAATGGGCCTACTGACAACAAATTGAAATATTTACCAGGAGCATTTTGGAGTTAAGTATTCCACTAAAGGGGAATCAAAATATTTAATGGGGGATAGTGGGGAGCAGCAGGCATTTGTATTTTTTTAAATACCAGGTATAATTCTGACATGAAACCAGCATTATGGGCCATGGCTTTGGACACCATTAATTGCTTAATTTAATGCAGTATAACATCATGCTTTAGAGTATGGGTTTTGGAGATAAACAAGTTTGGATCAATTTCCAACTCTGCCCCTTTACTAGCTTCATGAGCATCAGTAAATTACTTAATCTCTCTGTATCTCATTTAATCAATATCTAATGTATATTTGTTGAGTGCTAGGCTGTGTTCTAGACATATAACAGTGAACAAAATAAATGAAAATTCCTGCCCTTGACTGTCAAACTACAGCAGAAAAGCTGGGGAGGGTTGGAGGGCGGGAGGCGGGGGGGGGGGTGGTAAGAGATCAACCGAAGGACTTGTATGCATGCATATAAGCATAACCAATGGACGTAAGACACCGGGGGGGGGGGGGGGGTAGGGGAGGCTAGGGGAATGTCAAGGGGGGGTGGGGGAAGGAGACATATGTAATACTCTTTGTAATACTTTAAGCAATAAAACACAATTTTTTTTAAAAAAAAGAAAAGAAAATTCCTGCCCTTGTGCCATTTACACTCTAGAGTAAGGATAGTGACAAACGACAATATAATGGAGTGTGTGAGTGTGTGTGTGTGTGTGTAGGTAATATAACAATACAGGCGAAATCTGGGATGAGGGGGGAATTGAGAGAAATGTCTGTATTGGATCTTCCAACCTCATAAGCTTGTAAAGATTTAACAGAGTTCATATGTAAGGTGCTTGGAACAGTGGCTGGCACATGTTCAGTAAGTGCTATCTGCCATTCTCTTATTGTACCAATGAGGGAATTAATATCCAGAGAGATGGAAGAATCTTCCCAAGTACATCTAAGAGAGGAGGCAAATCAGGCTCAGGGCTATTCCTACTTGCCTCTTCTCAACTCACTCCTAGAAGAATTTCAATATGGCGCTAGAAGACAAAGACTAAAACAATGGAACCAGAGCTTGCCTCTTGACACAGATACCTATATCTGAATGTAGTTCTTGTTGGTGCCATACATCAGAAGCAAATATTGCTAAATGCAACTTTTGTCATCCCTGAGGACATGGATAAAATAAAGGGCTAAAAGAACTCAACCTGCCTATAACTCAGGCCAACTCCTTAAGCAACTTTGTATTAAAATAGTCTTATGAGGGGCTATCTACTGGTCTCCGTTTATAGCATAAATAGGTAAACAATGGGAGAAACTAAGATGGCGGCATAGATAAACACCGGGAAATTGCTGCCTCCCACAACAACTTCAAAAAAAACAACATAAAGACAAAACGAACAGCATTCAGAACTACAGGAAAGCTGGCTGAGTGGAAATTCTACAACTAGAAGGAAAGAAAAGCACGCTGAGAGCCAGAGGAGCTGCGGAAGTAAAGTGCAGAGGTACGGAGGCTCGCGCTCGCAGAAAGGGGCTGGTACCTGAGGAGGCGGCTGTCTTTTTAAATCGGGAGGGAGTCACAAGCTCCCGACTGCTCTGAACTCCGGTTCCGGGAAGTGTCTGGGGACCCAGGACTCATACGGGGAGAAACTGGACTGTCTGGCAGTGGGCAGAACTCGGAACTTGAGGTCGGCAACCTCAGAGGTGCTTGCAGCAATTACCGGGACACTGAGACGCGCGGCCCCTTAGGGCAGGGCTGAGGATCAACCATAGCTGCTTGCTCCGTCCTTTGATTCCCTGAGACCCCGCCCAACCCAGGCTGCGGCAGAAGCTTTTGCATATGAATGCCCCGGCCCTTTGCAACCTGAAAATTACCTAATTGCAACTGGGCCAGACAGACCCAGAACTTCCAAGAGAAGGCCCAAGGCCCCATAGCAGCTTGCATTGCTTCACAGCTGGGCCTCATCAGGGTACCTCCAAACTCCAAAAAAGGAAGGGGAATCTGCAGTTCTCTTCGTAGCTCCTGCTGTGTAACCTCAGGCAGAGGCTAAATTAGCACCTCCTTAGATCCAAGAGCCAGTGTACCCAGTGGTCAGAGGGGGACCATCCAGATTACAACTCCTCAGATCCATAAGGGACACACCCAGGGTGCAGACTCAGTGAGCACCAAAGCCCCACTGAAGCAAGTCTTGCCCCAGAAGGGTGTCTTCAGCACAAAAGTTCTCCCACTGCAGACACAGCCGATTCTCACTGCCAATTGGCCTGGAGGTCAATTCCTCCCAGTGATACCTACAACAATCAAGGCATAACTACAACAAGACTGTGCATAAAGCCCACAAGGGGGTGCACCAAGAGTGTCCACCTCAGGTAACTGGGGAGGCTGAGACACTAGGCCCTACAGGACACCTAGCACACAAAGCCACTCTACCAACACAGGGAAGCATAAAAAATGCGGAGACAAAGAAACAGGTCACAAATGACAGAAATGGAGGAAAGCAAACGACTGGATATAGAGTTCAAGGCCACGTTTATAAGGTTTTTCAAGAATTTTATGGAAACCGCTGATAAATTTAGTGAGGCCCTCGATAAATCTAGTGAGACTCTCATGGATATGAAAAAGGACCAACTAGAAATTAAGCATACACTGACTGAAATAAATAATAATATACAGAGATCCAACAGCAGACAAGAGGATCCCAAGAATCAAGTCAAAGATTTGAAATACGAAGAAACAAAAAAGACCCAATCGAAAAAGAAAAAAGAAAAAAGATTCCAAAAATATGAAGATAGTGTAAGGAGCCTCTGGGACAACTTCAAGCGTACCAACATCAGAATTATAGGGGTACCAGAAGAAGAGAGAGGGCAAGATATTGAAAACCTTTTTGAAGAAATAATGACAGAAAACTTCCCCTACCTGGTCAAAGAAATAGACTTACAAGTCCAGGAAGCGCAGAGAACCCCAAACAAAAGGAACCCAAAGAGGACCACACCAAGACATATCATAATTAAAATGCCAAGAGCAAAAGACAAAGAGAGAATCTTAAAAGCAGCAAGAGAAAGACAGTCAGTTACCTACAAGGGAGTACCCATACGACTGTCAGCTGATTTCTCAACAGAAACCATGCAGGCCAGAAGAGAATGGCAAGAAATATTCAAAGTGATGAATGCCAAGAACCTACAACCGAGATTACTTTATCCAGCAAAGCTATCATTCAGAATAGAAGGTCAGATAAAGAGCTTCACAGATAAGAAAACGCTAAAGGAGTTCATCACCACCAAACCAGCATTATATGAAATGCTGAAAGGTATTCTTTAAGAAGAGGAAAAAGAAAAAGGAACTCTTACCATTTGTCACAGCATGGATGGAACTGGAGAGCGGATAAATACCACATGATCTCACTCATTTGTGGAATATAATGAACAACATAAACTGATGAACAAGGACTGATCCAGAGACGGAGAGGCATTGATTGGACTGTCGGGCCTTGGAGGGAAGGTAGGGGAGGGTGGGGGTAAGGGGGAAAGATCAACCAAAGGACTTATATGCAAGCATATAGGCCTAACCAATGGACACGGACAACGGGGGGGGTGAGGGCATGAGCGGGGGGGGGGGGGGGGGGAGTAGAGGGTAACGTGGGGATAAGGATGCATATGTAATATCTTAGTCAATAAAAAATATATTTAAAAAAATAGGTAAACAATGGCTAAGGAAGACTGTAAAAGAACACTATAAAATGCATTTTTGACAAAACTTAATACACTACTACTACTAATTATTATTATTATTTTTAATCTCCCTTAATGCAATAGTACTATCTTGTGAATAAAGAAAATATGATAATTTCTTGAAATATATTTGGGCCCAAGCAGTATTTTAAAACATTTTTATTGCCAAATGGAACTTAGAAAACTTACAGGAGACCAGAAATTAGAAAAGCAATAATTGAAGACATCTTTTTGAGAAACTTATTGGGATAAAGTATCTGAGTCAAAGTCCAATGAGATGTCCAAACAATCCTTCTCACTATCAGAATGACTAATATTTGTTTGGGTTATGAGATAACTATAAGGGTTAAGACCATATAATGCGAGTGAGTGAAAATTTATTCCCATGACCCTCAAAACTAAAAACAATTAAATTTGACATTGAGTAAAGGAAAGAGGAGCGACTAATTTAAACATGTTGCAGAACATTCTAGAACCTATGTGAAAAACATAACTTGCTCTGTTAGTGTCATGCCTTTTGATAACACAGCAAAATCACTTATCTTTATCATGAAAGCATATGGAGTGGAAAAGAAAAAGACAAATCCGTAACTCTGGTTGTAGCATAAGAGATTAAATTGACAGGGGAAAAAATGGGGAAAAGGAAATCATTAAGGCAGTGGCTAATAATCTTGGGAACAAAGATAAGTGAAACGATGTAAACAGTGAGAAAGTTGCTCCATACCTAGGAGGGCTTTAGTTTACATGTAATTCATTTCTCTATGAATTTTTCCTCTGATTCAGGATATGAGTTAGCATAAGTTACTTCAACTCTGCAGGCAATTAATTTATTAGAAAATTTATGTGCAGCCTGGCTAGTGTGGCTCAGTGGCTGAGCATCAACCTATGAACTAGGAGGACACAGTTCGATTCCCAATCAGGGCACATGCCCAGGTTATAGGCTCAGTCCTCAGTAGGGGGCATGCAGGAGGCAGCTGATCAATGATTCTATCTCATCATGACATTTCTATCCCTCTATCTCTCCTTCCTCTCTCTGAAATAAAAAAAAAAATCTTTAAAAAAATTGATGTGCAAAGCATTTAAATATACATCAACAATAAGTGTGGGTAAATATATGGAGAAAAGGGATCTCTTATGCACTGTTGGGTTGGACTGTAAATTGGTGCAGCCACTATGGAAAACAGTATGGAGGTTCCTCAAAAAATTAAAAATAGAACTATTATATGACCCAGGAACTCCACTTCTGGGTATTTATCTGAAGAAATCCAAAACACTAATTTGAAAAGTTATATGTACCTCTATGTTCATTGTAGCATTACTCATAATAACCAAGATATAAAAGCAGCTTAAGTGTCCATTGATAGACAAATGGATACAGAAGATGTGGTTCATATATACAATAGAATATTACTTGGCCATATAAAAGAATTAAATCTTAACATTTGCAACAGCATGGATGGACCTAGAGGGTATTATGCTAAGTGAAATAAGTCAGTCAGAGAAAGACAAATACCATATGATTTCACTCATATGTGGAATTGAAAGAACAAAATAAATGAACAAACAAAACAGAAACAGACTCACACTACAGAGAATAGACTGAAGGTTGCCAGAAGGGAGGGCTGGGTGAAAACGGTGAAGGGATTAAGCAATACAGATTGGTAGTTACAAAGCAGTCATAGGGGTGTAAAGTACAGCATAGGGAATACAGTCAACAATATTAAAATGCCTATACATGATGCCAGGTGGATACTTGAAATATCGAGGGGTTCACTTTATAAAGTATATGCTTGTCTACCCACTATGATGTACACATGAAATTAATACAAACTAATATTGATTGTAAACTGTAATTGAAAAATAAAATGTAAATTTAAAATAAAATCTGTGTTACGACTTTAGTGATCTCAGGCTGAGAGTGACTTTAGAGATTATCTAGTTCAAGCCTTGATTTTGCAGAAGAAATGACAGAACTGAGAGGAAATGTGGAATTCCAGGGATTACGTGGTTAGTAATAAGAGGACAAACTTTTTTTTTTTTTTTAAGAACAGTCCATTGATATTTAGAGAGAGAGGAAAAGAGAGAGAGAGAGAGAACAGAAACATCGATGTGAGAAACAACGATCCCCTGCCTCCTGCACCAGGAATCGAACCAGCAACCTTTTGGTGCACGGGATGATGCCCAACCAACTAAGCTACACCAGCCAAGGCACGGCAGTATTTTTTATTTTTTCAGCTTTGATGTACATAATACATCAACGGAGAATGCAGCTAGGCCTTAAAAGATAAAAGGGATTTGACAGAAAAGTAAAGCCATAGCTGCTGCCCTCAGGGTTCACTCCCCAGTGGGAGAGAAAGACAGCAACCAATTAAAAGACAGAGTCCTAATAGATTACCTCTAAGCAAGGTGCAGGGAATACACAGAGGAGGTGCATTAGTCTGCATGGGCTGCCATAACAAAATACCACAGACTGCACGGCTTGACCAACAGAAGTGCATTCTCTCAGTTCGGGTGCTCGGGAAATTAAGGAGCAAGATGCCAGCAGATTAGGTCCCTGGTGAGAACTCTTTTCCTGGTGTCTCTTCTTATAAGGCTCCCACTCTCATGACCTCAAGTAACCCTAATTACCTCCCAAAGGTTCCATCTCCAAATACTATCACATTGGAGGCTAGGGCTTCAACATAATTTCAGGGAACACAGACATTCAGTGCATAACAGGAGAAAAGTGTTCACTCCGCCTACAGTACAGGAGCGTATTGCAGACGAAGTGACTCCTGAGCTGGGTCTCAAAGCAGGCGTAGGAGCTCACCAGTGGAGGGGCAGTGGGAGCACACCTTGTAGAGAGAACAGCAGGAACAAAATGCAGGAGGAGGGATGAATGGTGAGCATTTCAGCATAGACAGAATAAGGAGTACCTGTAGGGAAAAAGTAATTTGAGACCAGATTATAAGAAGTCCCTGTGCATGATGCTGAGGAGATTAAAATCTCTTCATATGGGCAGTGGGAAGTTGGTAAAATTGTGTGTGTGCTATAATAAAGTTTGTTGTGTGGATAACAGTAATACAAGTTTAATATTTGAAAACTGAAATTAAAAAATTTAACGTTGAAATCAGTAAAAGTTACAGGAAGATTGCAAGAATAGCCCCAGCTCAGTGGATAGAGCATCGGCCTGCGGACTGAAGGGTCCCAGGTTCGATTCCGGTCAAGGGCATGTACCTTGGTTGCGGGCACATCCCCAGTGGGGAGTGTGCAGGAGGCAGCTGATTGGTGTTTCTCTCTCATCAATGTTTCTAACTCTCTATCCCTCTCCCTTCCTCTCTGTAAAAAATCAATAAAATATATTTTTAAAAAAATAGTACAAAGAACTCCTGTATATTCTTTACCCAAGTTTACCAATTATTACTATTTTGCCACATTTGTTTCATTATTATTTTTCTTTCTTTGTATAACATATATATTATTTAGACATGTGGGAATAGGCATATATAGATATGCATGTGTGTGTATGCACACATACACAAATATATACACACGTGTATACATATACATGTATACACACACACATATTTTTTCCTGAAGGATAAACCCATCTTCCATTTGTCCTTCTATCTCCTAGCTGAGCCCTGAACACGCAGACACTTAATAAAGATTGAAGACTAACAACCATGTCAGAGTAGCTTACGCAAAAGGCCAGGGGTAGCCAAATTTCCTTCTGGGAAGATGAGCGGCGGGAAGACTCTGGGGATTTCCCAGCAGAATTGAGGAGCCTTTGAGTCAGAAAACCAGAGCAGCTCCTCCCCTGCTGCTGAGAACCAGCCAAACAAGTATTAACAGGGTGCCAGAAGCACAGTAACTCTTCGTACCAGGTCCACAATCCCTCATCCAGAATTTCCAAATCCAAAAACACTCTGAAAGTATGTTTGTATCTCATTTGGTAGCAAAACCTGCCCGGAAATAATCCTGAGCCTTTTGATGGTGTTTGTTTATCCCACTCTCTGAATTTTCATACATTTCACTGCATGACTAGCAATGTGTTTGATAACAAGGGTTTCCTCAGGACTCACTGGGGATAATAATTAATTCAGGGTATATCATGCCTGTATCCCCTTTCTAAAATCTGGATTTCAAATTCATGGGAATGTAAAGATTTCAGATAAGGAAATATGGAAGTGTATTTAAAAAGTGGGGGTAAATACTTTGCAACTTAGACTGGGGCCTTTAATGAACATTTCTCCCATGAAAATGTGAGTGGAGCTCAAAGAAGACCTCACAGGCTTTGGCACCCTATATCTACTCAAGGAGGCCTTCATTTCACCTGTTTTGACTCATGCTCCTCATTTATGCATCTTTGGTTCTTTGCTTGATTCTGTCCCTCAGCAACCACTACAGGCCTGGCTCACCATTTAATTTAAAGCCTTCACTCTTCTTCAGGATATGGTTTTTGCTATTTGATCTCTGGCCTTCCTGAACCATACTTCCACTAAGAAAAGGGCTTACCAGCTCCTCTCTCCCATCAGCCCTGCTCCACCCTCACTGTGCTGTGCCATATGGGACTTATCACCTGCATCTGTCGCCTGCTGTCCTGACTGGAACACTGGGAGGTGGGATGTGTGTGCAAAACCGAATCAGACCACCCAGCCATTCAACCATCCAGTTGGTCACTTGTTGGATCATTTATTCATTTAAGAAATATATACTAAAATGTCTACAACTGCCAGATGCTTTTCTAATACCTAAAGTACAGCAATAAACAGATATATTTGATGTCATCATTTAATTAACATCTAACAAGGGAAACAAATATTAAATAAATAATTACAATTGTAGTACCTGCTACAAATGGGGATGCAGAGTATAATGAAAGGGTATAAGGAGGAGAAAGGGGCCTAGTTGGGCATAGAGGCTCAAGAAAGTCTTTCCTGAGGAAGTGACTTTTGAGTTAAGGTGAGAAAAATGAGTAGGAGATAGCTGGGGAGCAAGGTGAAAAGGGAGAGTGGGGCAGGGAGTATAGAGGTGAGGGAAGATGGAGATGGGAAGAATTTCAGGCAAAGCAAACTACATAATAAGGACCCAAGGCAGGAAAGAACTTGGCCAAAATGTGGAAGTGAAAGCCATAACTGTGGCTAGAGGGTGGGGTGGGGTGGGGTGGGGTGGGGTGGGGTGAGGTGAGAGAGAGAGAGAGAGAGAGAGAGAGAGAGAGAGAGAGAGAGAGAGAAACCTGAGGTGTTTTACCCTTTGTAACAGCATGGAGGGACCTGGAGAGTAATGCTAAGTGAAATAAGCCAGTCAGAGAAAGACAAGTATCACATGATCTCACTCATATGTGGAATCTAATGAAAAAAAAACACACAAACCTGACAAAATAGAAACAGATTCACAGATACAAAGAACAGACTGACAGCTGTCTGTCTGGAGGGAAGAAGGTTGGGGCCAGGGTGAAAAAGGTGAAGGGATTAAGCAAAAAAAAACAACAACAACAAAAAAAAACCCACACAGACAACAGTATGGTGATCACAAGAGGGAAAGGGGAGTGGGGGAGGTAGAAGACGGTATTTGGAGGGGGGGGGATAAATGGTGATACAAGAAGACTTAATTGGGGTGGTGAACACACAATATAATATACAGATGATGTATTATAGAATTGTACATCTGAAACCTATATAATTTTATTTACCAAAGTCACCCCAATAAGTTCAATTAAAAGAAAGAGTAAATGTATGAAGAACTGAATAAAATAGTTCTTCCCTCTTAGGACACATAGATACCTGATAAAAGAGGTAACACAGAAGCACACCAAATGGGCATGACCCTGGGCAGGACTGGATCTCCCTGCTCCTGAAACAGTGGGTTACACAGCTTCGCTCCACATGGGTTAGGCCAGGGCTTCCAGAAAGGACTGCCATCTCCAGGAAGGACAAAGAATCAAGGCTCCTTTCCAGGTGGATCCCCAGGACAGCCTTTCACTTCCAACGGATGAGCCTACCCCAAAAAATGTTTCTCTCTCCCCACCTCCTGCCCCCTGCTCATACATACACTCACTCCAAAACCTTTCAGCCTGACTCCTTCAGGAGTCCAGCCAGCATTCTACAATCAAAGAATGCTCCATCTCTTAGGACTTTCCTCCCTATTTTGTTTGTTTGTTTGAATAGTGTGTGAATAAAAATCACAGTTGAAATGATTTCATCTTTAACTCTGATGTTCATAAATGTTCATCATTTAAACTCTTAGGATGGCCATGGAGTTTGCATTAGGAATCATAATCATGTGTTATCATACATAAATGACTTCACTCAGAGCAGAATTTACTCTGGCTTACTTCCATACTCCAAGACTTTTATGCTGCCGGCAGTGATTAGGAACACTGCTGGAATTCATTCTTGAACAGAACTTTTCCTGAACTGAAACTCTATACTAAAAAGCAGTGAAGAAAACTTGTTACCATTCATTTGTTTTGGACTTAGATTCAAAGGGTGGGAGGAATGGAGGAAGGACAATAGTTCTTTGACACTAGTAATAGTAAGTTAGTAGAAGGCCAAAACTCTTTTCATTAGACTTAATAGCCTGAGGCAGAATAGTCAGGAAAACAATTATGCAAAGTAAGTCTTTAGCAGGAGCGAAAAGATAAGATAAATATACTCTTCAAGCATATTAAGCCATTGCTAAATATTATACTTGATCCCTCGAAGTTATAAAAATTCCTAGCTCTTCACTACTTGTAAAAGTTTACTAAAAAGAGTGGTAAAAATATATATTCAGAAGCTAAAGGAACTGGTACATTTGAAGTTGGGCTTTTGTCTTTCATTTTGATGTTTGTATGAAAATAATATTCAATATGAAAGGAAATGAGTACCACTAAGGACTGTTTTGTATTTCAAAAATAGCAACAGCTGCCTAAATGTACAACTTGCAACTTACTATTCAAACATAATTCTGGGTGGGTGGGTGGGAAGAGATTAACCAAAGAACTTGTTAGCATATATGTATAACCCATGGACACAGACAATAGTGTGGTGAAGGCCTGGTGTGTGTGTGTGTGGGGGGGGGGTAGATGTGGGTTAGAAGAGGTCAAGGAGGAAAATAGGGGGATATCTGTAACACTTTCAACAATAAAGATTTTTTAAAAAACACACAAAAAAACATAATTCTATTATTTCCAATTGTTCCTCTAATTGTGACTCTGGAATCCAAAGGACTACATGTACAAATTTAGTAGGTTAGTCCTGAATAAAGTCTCTTTTTGGAAGATGTAACGGTATGATTTCTCTTTATTCTCTTAATACTGTACACATTTTTCTAATAAAAAAATTACACTTTTTTTTTCTGGACTAAGATTTATGAATAACTGCCAAAATTTTAAGAATGGTTTGAACAAAAGCAAATTATTAGCAGACTGGCAGTTTTTATAATTCCACAATTATATTTCCATCTAATATTTCTTGCCCATCGCCAAAATACTAGCAGTCTCAGAAAACAGCAATGTTAAGTAACTTTCTTTTAGACCATACTAATTTTACTTTCTCAACTTCAATTCACAGTATATTGTGGAATTACCCACTTCAACATTAATAAGCGTTAAAGGTGCGTTCTGAAATATTATCTTGGACCTCTTAGCTGAGTTTTGTTCAAGTTTTGGAGATCCTATTTGGTACAAGTTGAGTCAGAGAAACCTCCCTCATATCTCTGTGTCTACTGCTATCCCTGACTATCTCTGTCTCTATATATCAGCATCTATCCCGAATCTTTAACTAGACCTATACGTTTTTGGATGATGTCCTCTCTGCTTAGAATGTCTCATGACTCATTTAGGAAAAAGGAAGCAACCCACCCACATTCTAAAGCAGGGGTCCTCAAACTACAGCCCGCGGGCCACATGCAAATACAAATATTGTATTTGTTCCCGTTTTGTCTTTTTACCTCAAAATAAGATATGTGCAGTATGCATATGAATTTGTTCATAGTTTGTTTTTTTTAAACTATATTCCGGCCCTCCAACGGTCTGAGGGACAGTGAACTGGCCCCCTGTTTAAAAAGTTTGAGGACCCCTGTTCTAAAGTAACTTAACCACAAGCTGCTGAGGCTTCTGCATTAACTAAAAGACTTAATGCTGTAGAAAATCCCCCAAGTTAAAGCCATAGCATCCCCAGAAAATGAAAGCTGCTTATACTTTTAGTTTGTTTCTTCTTCCTAAAAATCTTCAATGGTCCGATCAGTTATAAAAGTCCATCCAGAACTCGAGTTAATATATATTTGTAACTCTCTGTTTATCTCTATTGACCTCTCCACTACTCACAAATGTGGCACAAATTTCTTTTGCTTTTTCTTCCTCACTCTGTTCGCCATTAAAACCAGGAATTCAAGAATGAGGATGTTCTGAAGGGCAGACTTCACAAAACTGACCTAACTTGGCTTATACTCTTAAAGATGTTGGCCCTAAGTAGCCAAATATATTTTAGTCAATTAGTTGTAAGATTTATGAGCTCAAATTCTATGAAACTCAAAATCGAGGAATAACTTTTTTAATTCAAACAGCCTTTCAGGATGAGTTTAGCTACATTTTTAGTTTACCATGCCTTTGGGGTATTTTGTTCCTTAATAGCTTTCTACTAAACTCATAACAACAGATAATGTTTAATTAGCTCAAATTATTCTTAACACCAATAGAGAACATGCTTTTTATCCCTCAATATTCAGTCCTCTCTCCTTCCCCTAGAATTTTAGTTGAGCACAAAACCACATTAGCTAGAGACTAATTTCTCTCTGCCTCCTTTGCAAACCAAGTTTTGCCACTGGCATGTGAGTAGATATGACTATAGAATTCTTAGGTCACATTAGGGAACTGCTTGCCTTCACTTCTTTTCCAATATTTATTACTTAACAACATTTAATAATTATTACCTACTTTATGCAAACTGATACCATCCTGGGAATAGAAAAGCTAGTAAAAATTGTCCTCACGATCAACTTATTTCCAAACTACCAGGGTTAAGTAAAATAAATTCATAAGTAACTCAAAACAAGGTAAAACAAAACAAGTAATCACAATAGGTGTACAAACACTGCCCAAAGGTTGAAAAAAGAGAATACTACATATAGACTGAGATATCAAAAATATTTTATTCGCGAGTTAAATGATTGAGAAGGCTGTGAATGAATACACAGAGTGGGAGAGGATGGCTCCTCTTCCCCTGGGCCACCTCTCACAATGCCGAAAAAGTCAAAAACTTCCTGTGAGTTTGGACACAGGAACTGAGTCAGCTAACAGTATTGCATGAGAAAATGTGTTAAATGCTTTACATGTTTAGCTTTCAATAGCAGCTGTAACAAATGACCACAGCTAAGTAGTTTCAGACAACACAAATTTAATATCTTAGAGTTTTGCAAATCAGAAGTCCAAAATGCATTTCACTTGGCTAAACTAAAAAAGTCAGCAGGGCTGCATTTCTTTCTGAAAATTCCAGGGGAAAATACATTTCCTTGCCCTTTCCAGTTTCCAGAGGTTGTTCAACATCCCTTGGCTAGTGGCTTCTTCTATCTTCAAAGCAAGCAATGCTGGTAGAATTCTTTCCACATTGCATTACTCTGA